CTTAGAGAAATTTTTTTGGGGGGTGGGTGCTGGGGATTGAACTCAGGACCTTGCACTTGCAAGGCAGGTGGTGGCACCACTGAGCTAAATCCTCGGCTGTCTTAGAGAATTTTGAGCAGGAAGGTGATGGGATCTTCTTTTAAAGACTCACTGTAGGGGCCAGGGATTTATTTAGCTCAGTGGTTCCAGCGCCTGCCTCACAAGCTCAAGGTCCTGAGTTCAATCCCTGGTACCAAAAAAAAAAAAAAAGACTCACTGTAGCTCTGTGTCAAGGGTAGACTAAAGACAGATTTAAAGATTCTTAGAAATTACGCGATCTAGTTTTTAGAGGAGATCTAAAAAGATGAACCTAATGTTTGGTAAAATGTGTAGATCTTATTTGCTTCCTGAATCAAGCAAACCACTCTAAAAAGTAGTTTTGAAAAAATTGGGGAAATCTAATATAGACTCTATTAAATGATGTCAAGAATTATTGTTAATTTTGTTAGGTGTAATTACATTGTAGCTATTTAAGGAAATATCTATATAGTGATATGCATTGAATATATAAGGGTGGAATGACACAATGTTTGGAACAGATGAAAATATGGCAAATTACTCATAACTGTCATATCTAGAAGATGCATAAATGGGTACTATTTATTTTTTATATATTTTTGTATTATAAAAATTTTCATAATAAAACATGTTTTAAAAGAAGACAGTGGAGGGAGGGGACAAGAAAAGAATCAGTAGGAGACCTTTGCAGCTGAGCAGATGAAGAGAACAGTGTGTTGTGCTGAGGGGAAGCTGTGTGGAAGTGGCACAGAATGAGTAGATGCAAGATATGTCCTTTTTAAAGCCTGGACGCCGCCTGCCTTGCAAATGCAAGGACCCAAGTTCGATCCCCAGGACCAAAACAAAAACAAAAACAAAAACAAAAAACCTGGTGACACATCCTCTTATTGATTCCAAAGTTATCTGTGGCTTCTTGTAATGTTAGAACTTAAAACATTGTCTGGCTGCCCCTAAAAAGATAAATAATGGTGGCTTTCATTTTTAAATTTATGGTTTTATTTTTCTCCAGATCTTCAAGAAAGACCATATTTTAGTTTTGTAATAAAAAATTAACATTAAAAAATTGGGGGTCCTTGACCACTGTCTGTGTTCTTCCGTTGTGTCATTATTCATGAAACTATGAGCTGAGTCTGCTTGCAGATTAGACCTGGAACCTTCCTGCCTGATTTGGTCACTGCTACATAGGGCACATCCCCGCTTGGGAATCCTCTGTAACTCTTTTTTGGCTTCTCAGAGCACTTTTCTCACCTCCTACTTCTGTTTTGTTCTGAGAAGTCTTCTGGCCCCATGTGCTCTCTGTAAAATGCTGGATTTTAGCTGGTTAGATTTAGTGACAATTTTATTGCTATGTTACTCTCTTTATGTTCCTTCTTGAAGATATGGTCAGTGCAGTAATGGGCACACTGTCTCTTTCTCCTCTTCTCCCTAAGAGTTTATTATTTCCTTCAAATTATGAACTAGATGATTAAGTTAATTTTAAATGTGTTCCTACTATATTATCTTCTCTGGGTAGCAGGTTACTGATCCTTTGTTTTTATGGGGCTTATATCACAGTATGGGGAATTAATAAGAAAGTAAATAACAAGAACAGAATAATCCCAACTAATGATATAGGCTGGGGAGAAAAGAAAACAGGGTACTGTGATGGTGGGTAGGTGAGGGAGCTACTCTAGTTAGGTGCTGGGTGAAGCCTTTCCAAGGAAAGACACCTGGGGTGAGACCTAAGTAATAAGAAGCAGCTACTCATTGTGACAGGGTGACCAACCATCCAGTTTGCTTGGGACAAAGGGACTTCTCAGGACATGGGATTTTCAGTGCCAGACTTAGGATAGTCCTGGGCAAACTGGAACTGGCACGTTGTGCAAGAGGAGGGAAGAGTGAGAAAGAAGGCTTGAAGTTAGGAGGCAGCTGTGCAGTTGGGAGGAGACAGAGGGCAGGGTGACTGAAATGTAATGAAAGACGGTTGAGTGGAGGCAGATGAGGCTGAGGAGTTGGCAGGCACTGGTGCTCATGGCCCAACTTCCGATGAGTGTTGGGTTTTACTGTCAGTATCCAGAAGCCACTGCAGGGTGGTACACAGAGCAGGATTGAGGGTTCATTTCCGTTTGTAAGGGATCACTGGTTGGTGTGTAAAGAATAAAGCATTGCAGTGCCAGAGACCAATTGGGAGACCGGTCCCATTTTCTAGCACAAGATGATGCTTGGAAGAGGGTAGTCACCAGAAGGGCACCCCTTGTCACTCTAACTCTGTGTTGTCTTACTCCTCTCAGCTCTTCCTGTACTTCCTAAATCGGTAGCTTTTACCTCCACTTTGCTAGAGTAGAGATTCCCGGCATACTGGCTACTCATGCACCAAGCCCGGGTCCTTCTTGACTCATCACCTTTTCTTTTAAGGGTTTGAAAGTACTCAAACACAGTAAGATAATTTTTTGTTTTTTTTCTTTATCCATTGATTTTCTTATAGGGCTGGATGGGTAATGCTTTCGAATGCCAAGCTTAAAGAGATCGATTTTTATCTTAGGTTCCTTTGAAGGGCTATATTTAGTGTTGTGCAACATAAATGGAGCTGTGGCTGTGGAAGGTTAGTCTAGCAGGAGGGTGGGGGTAAAACAATACAGACAGAAGGGATGTGTTAAATTTTAGGTGACAGGAGGCTATTCAAGTAGAAATGTCAGCTGAGAGGGCTGGGGGCAGTTGAAAAAAGGGGGACTAGATCTTAGTAGCTAGGATGAGTTTGTAGATAAAATGTGGGAGTCTTCAAGAGAGGGGGAGTTAGATTTTCAAGAGGGCCTGGATTTGTTTATGCAGCAAGGCACTGAGTGCCTGCCTAGGACTGGGAATGTGGTGAAGGAAGCAGGCAGATCCCTGCTCTCGCAGCTGGCATTGAGTCGGGGTAAGGGATGGTAGAAGGGCAAACAATGAATGACTTAATGAGCATAATAATATCAGGAAATGGTAAGTCTTGTACAGAAACCAAGCATTAAGGTTGAGGCATTGGGTCAGATGCCTTTTTAGATTGGTAATCCGGGAAGGCCTCTTTGAATAGGTGACATTCTACCCGAGACCTCAGGGTTGGGAAGAGCCAGCCGCAAGGAGGGAGCAGAGTGTTCAGGTAGAGGTCTGGGGCACCAGAAGTGGAGGGGTGGAGCCAACAAGGAAGTGAAAGGAGGGAGGCACTAGCACAGTGAGTGGCTGACACACAGGTCAGTGCTCAAGTGTGAAGAAAGAAACAGACTAGGATCCATCAAGACCGAGGAAGGGAAATCCCAAGAAGTCAAGGAAAGGTCCGTAATGTTGGCTTTAGGTTACTAGTGGGCCATTAGGAATATCTGCTCTGTTGGGTGTGGTGGCACACATCAGTAATCCCAGCACTCTGAGAGTCTGAGGCAGGAGGATCACAAGTTCAAGCCCAGCCAGGCCAATTTAGTGAGACCCTGTCTCAAAATTATAAAAAAGGCTAGGAATGTAGGTCAATGTAAAAGCCCTGGGTTCAGTCCCCAGTACCGAAAAAAAATGTCTGCTTGCTAGAGGGTGCTGAGTACAGAGACCAGCCCTCACAGGAATAAGAAGCAGAATGAGGAAGCAGAAGCAGAATTTTGTGACTAAATCTTTTCCCTTATCCTTTGTGAGTGAGTCTTCCCTGGCCGTGCTCCTGAATTTCCTTGCTTTCTCTGGCCACTTCTCTACTCCCAGCTCTTCCCTTTGGACTCCTGCTTTGCTGTCTGCTGGATTCTGAAGGCTTGCCCCTAGAACCTGCATTCCTTCTGTCTCCTTGCCTCACAGCTGCAGGCCAGTGCTGCCTACCTGGCTGATGGGGCCAGTGTCTGAGATGGCCCAGAGCCAGGAGCCTGGCCACAGAGGCCATGCCTGAGAGATGTTTGAGATATTGGATAAGGACTGGAAGTGGAGAAAGGGATGGAATTTTATTAAGACACCAGGTCTTAAAGTCTCTGAGAGACCATGAGTGTGAAAGCAAAGAGAAAGAAGTCAGTAGAGGAGACACTGATAAGAAGAAAGGTGTAGAGGGCAGCGCAGTGGAAGGTTAACCTTAAATCATACGAGGTGAAATCCTTCCTGTGAAGGAAGAGGAAGAGCAGAGTAAGTGAGCTGAGCTTACAGACTTAGGTTAGAAGAGCAGTGAGAAGGAGAAGCTTGAGTGGTCCTGATCTTTTCAGCAGTAAGGAAAGGCAGGTGATCTGCCAAAGGTCAAGCTACAGATTGGTGGGGGGATTTTGGCATCACCACTCCAGAGATTTTGCTGGGGAATAATTAATTGATAAATGAAAGAGCTCCCAGGTCCCAGCAAAGGCACAGTTGAGGTTGGCATGTATTTATAGCAGAGTCTGCCTTTCTCTAGGATTGCTCTGCCAGGGCTTGAGCACCAGAGCTAATGTTAACTGCTTTTAATAGAGAGTTTGGATTTTAGCCACTAATTATATATATATATTTTGTGCCAGCGATCAAACTCAGGACCTTGTGCTTGTGAGGCAGGTGGTGGAACCACTGAGCTAAATCCCTGGCCCCACTAATTGTATTTTAGGAAGACATTAATCTCATAGTTGTCCTGAGCAGTAAATCAAAGAGTGATTGATTTGTTTTCCTCTCGTCTTATTTGTACCTGTCAGAGGCTCATAATTAGTGTGCACTGCCAATGGAATTCAGGAATTTTAATCAACATCTTTCTATAAAACCTACTAAACTTGGCTTATTATGTTTTGAATCTGGGCTATGATAAAAAAATGAAACCTCAAAAACATAGCACAGCCTTCATTTCATTTGCAGTCATTTCTATAGAAGGTTGAAGTTTTGAAGGATAAATCTGGTCAGGTGCAGTTTTTGAACTGTTTTTAAGCATCTCGTTCACAATAATATCAAGTAGAAAATTGCTACCTAAATGGAAACAGACATCATTTCAGGACCTGTTTTTTTTTTTTCAATATCAGGTTGAAAATGGTGTATTTGTAGCCAACCCGCTTCAGGAACGCACAATTCTAATGAGAAAAGAAGGGGAATCTGCCAAAAGCATTAATGAGATGCTTCTGAGTAGACTCTCTCGGTACAGAGCCTCCCCGTCGGCGACCCTCGCAGCCCTGACTGGGTCCACCATCTCCAACACCCTGAAAGAGGATCAAGCAGGTAGGCTGCTCTGTGCTTCCTAGCCTGTCTCTGGATAGCTCCACCAAGCTACTTTTTATTAAGCACTTATTCTTTTTTTTTTTGGTACCGGGGATCGAACTTGGGACCTTGCGCTTGTGAGGCAGGCACCAGAACCACTGAGCTAAATCCCAGTCATTATTGAACACTTATTCTTTGCTAGACAAAGTATCTTACTTTGCCAACTTCACCTGATATGATCTTCCAGTCATTGTCCAGTTTTTTATTCCAAGTTATTACCTGTTGTGGGCCATGAACATGAGTTCATATGAATCAGTTATAACTCAAAACAGCTGTCTTTACCCACAAATGTCTTATCATCATTACTGTTAGTGTGTACATTCATCGATTCATGTTTAGCTTCATGCTTCATGAATGCAAAATGATATTTAGCATTATCCTTACTAGATACAATCTTAAGCAAGAAACAAATTTGTACAATATAACTTTGGAATTTACCATTTAGTTTTTATAATTTTTTTTTTTTGGTACCGGGGATCGAACTCAGCACCTTGCGCTTTCGAGGCACACGCCAGAACCACTGAGCTAAATCCCTGGCATAGTTTTTATAATTTAATGTTTTAAAATAGATGATACATTTATAAAGTTTGAAAGTAAAATCAGTGTGATAAACTAATACCTATTACCATGACAATAAGTCTATTAAACCTATCTTGGTGATAACATTAGGTCAATATGCATGGAAGTCTTAGTCCCACCATGTAATACTCTGCCCATTCTACTTAACTATAATTATTAATTTGCCTTTCCAGGAGTTCTTTATGCAAATACCATTCTTAAAATATATTATTTTTTCTTCTGTTAAAAATAAAATGTAGCGGGGCTGGGGATTTAGCTCAGTGGTTTTGCTGCCTGCTGTGCAAGCGCAAGGACCCGAGTTCAATCCCCAGTACCAAAAAAATAAAAATAAAAAGTAGCATACTATATACCCTGTTCTGCACCAGGAGGAGTTTCTAATCAGGACAAGTCTTTAATGCATTCATAAATGTGTTTCCCTCAGCTTAAAATAACATTTTATATGTTTTCATCGTAACTTTTATCAGATTTTCAAACTCATTCATGGCCAAAAAAGATAGGAATCATTATTCTAGAAAAGTTTACAGATTACATCCACCTACCTTGTCTTATAACAAACCATAAACTGCACTAAAAGATAAGTTTAGATAAAGATTCCATATATAGAAAAAAGTATCTGAATTAATATGAATTTAATGCAGATCCTTTGCTGTTTGTTGCTTAAAATGCTAGGAAGGGAAAATATTTGTGTTTCATTTGTCATGAAATATTATTAAATATTTATTAGTTCACATTAGAATTTAAGGACAATATGTTATTTCCACAAGCCTCTGCTGTATAGAATAGAAGTGAGGAATTTGTTAATAATTGTTATAACTTGAGTGAATGGATAGTTTGAGTTACAGGAAATGCTTTGTAGAAGATAGTTCTTTTTACTTAAATAAACATTTTTTAATGACAGACCGAAGTTTTGCTCTGGGTTTGTCCCTTGGGAGAAGATTAAATCCTACTAAAAAGTGGAAATACTAAAGGAATGTTTGAGGGTAAGAAAATACGTGCATTAAAAAAGTAGAGACCTCAGAAAGCAAGAATATAATCAGAACTCTGTAGAAGCTAGTATCTGTATTCAAAACATTATGATCTCATTAACTTTTCTTCTTTTTTTTTTTTGTGGTACCAGAGATCGAACTCAGGACCTTGCACTTGCCAGGCAGGTGCGGTGCCACTGAGTTAAATCCCCAGCCTGACATTGCTATATTAAAAATTCACCAGTTAGGCCAGGGATTTAGTTCAGTGGTTTTGCCGCCTGCTGCACAAACGCAAGGACCTGAGTTCGATCTCTGGTACCAAAAAAAAAAA